TTTTGCTTGTGGAAATGATTGGGTGGTGATGTTTTGACATGATCTGAAGCTGTCCACTGGTTGCACCAGCTCTGGGGTCTCCTGGGAGGTACAGGCTAAGGTCAGCCACCACCTGTGTTCTGTCCAGGGTCACCTGGCATGAGCTACAAAGCAATCTGGCTGCTCTTGTGCTGGGCTTGAAGGTACCTAGGCAAGTCTAACCTGCAAACCAAGCTCAGGTGCTGCTAAGTCAAGCCTCAGGCCACTTAGCAAAATTTACGGGACACACTAAGGGCAAATGCTGCTTGTTTGAGAGATTTTAGGAAAATATGATGCGTGAGCCATGACATGCCATTCATATGGAAAACCACTGGAAACAGCTTATGTGGGCCTGAAAGTTGCAGGTTTGGGGCCTCAGGGAATCATTGGGTGGGGGAGCAGGGGGCACATAGTGTAAACCAGGGTAATGGAGTCTCAGATATGGTACCCACCTGCCAGCTCTGTGAAGGGAGGGCTCATCAGAGGAACAATGGCCTCTGCCAGCACTTCTGTCTGGGAGAAAGCTGCCCCCTACATTTTGCCCTGATGCCAGACAATTCCGTTTTTCCCTGTATGCCTCTCTGGTGTCTTTCAAGCTGCTGTCCCAGCACTGAAACTCAGAGAAAGTGAGTCCCAATAAGTGTGTGTGGGCCCTTTAAGAAGAACTGCCTGGGATTTCAACAATCTTTTATCTACCTCAGCCTCAATCACTGCTGGTATTTACAGTGAGAACTTATAGGGAATTTTCTTCCTGGCACTGGAACTCTGGTCTGGGGGCTTTGTGTAGGGCTGAGTCCCCTCACTCCACAGGGTGGACATTTGCAACTGAGACATCCCTCCCAATTCTTATCCACCACACTTGAGTGAGGGACCAGTCACTCCTGAGTCTCCACTTCTGCAAATCTCAATGCAGCTTCTTCTTTAATTACTTCATTGTAAGACATCCATTCAGCCAGATTACGGGTGGTTCTGAATGAAGGTTATTCCATAGTTTAGTTGTAATTTTGATGTAGTTGCAGGAGGAGGTGAGTACTGTGTTTACCATTCACTGTCTCTTCTCTTTGAGCATCTTAAGAGAAATATTTTTAAGTCTTTTTCTAGTATATCTATTATCTACTTTTCTGGGAAATTATAAGTTTGTTAATTTTTTATGGTGAATGGGCAATATTTCTGTTTCCAGCTGCCTCATGATTTTTTTCTTTGAAAAATGAGCATTTGAAACCCTAGAAAAAATATGCTTCTCCTATTTCAGGTTTGCCATATGTATTTAATTAATTTATTTATTTATAGGCTCTCTCTATGCCAAGAATCACTCTGAGGTTTAAACTTATGATCTTCTTAAGTATTTTCTGAGCTTGTGTTTTTCCCTGGATGTCAACTGTTACTTTTTAATTTCTCCTGTATATGCATTTTCTTTTGAATGTCCTAGTGTTTAATATCTGGCTCCCAAAAGGGAAAATGAGAAAAAAAGTGGTGAGAAGTAAAGTATCAGTCTTTTAAACCTCCTAAAAGACACTTCATTTAAAGAAGAAGGGCTTGTAACAAAGAAAGGAGGTGCCAAAATAATGACTCCACTTACCTTTGTCTGTACCTCTGAGATCAGAAGCAGCAACCAGCAATCAGGGCAGATCCCTCATATTTGGAGGCCGGGGTCCTTTTTGCCTACCTTGGCTCATGCAAAATTCATGCAAGATCTTCCTGGAACATGTGCACTGCTGCCTGCCATAGGGCTGGGGGTCGAATATGAGGAGCTGATACTGTGCTAGGATACAAAATTCGCCGAAATTTGCTTTCTAAGCCTTCTTGAAGTTGTAATGTTGTCTCCAGTTACATGAGACAGATCCTGACAGTGCAATTGTTTGAGTTGAGACAGATTGCTGATCTTTCCTGCTCCACCATCTTCCCAGAATCCTCCACCTATGTCTTATGTTTTTAAAATTTGTTTCCCCAATACAAATAACATGATACCAGGTATTTCAGTGTGTATTGCTCTTTCCTATAAAATTTGTGTCTAGAATATTCTGTGCTTGGGCACATAAAAGACACTTGATGAATATTCATTGAATAGATGAATAAATGACCCAAATATTCTCACAAACATCACTGGAATTCCTTGGATCTTCATTATAAAGATCTCATTTACTCTTTCCAGCTGAAGTGGGTAGTTCCTCTTTTCAATGTATGGCTGCCATTATCTAGAAAGCTGTCCGGTACTGTCATCAATCTGGTCACAATTTAGTTTAGATTAACTGGGATTACTTAGTGTATGATTCCTGAAGGTTTATTGTAAATAATGCTATATTATTCAAAGGAAAATTGTAAATATACAGAGAGCCATTTGACTCCCTGAACATTTTTGCATCTCAGTAATTAATGTTCATTTACAAGATTGCATCTAAATATTGCTTAGATTTCAACATCTTTTTTCATTTAAAATCCCTTAATTTTTAACACATATAAAATATGGCATAGAGAAGGTAAAAACATCTATGTAAATTTTATTAAATATCAACTTACAGCAGAGTTTTTCTATCTATTTAAGGCTATAAATTTATATTCCTCCCAACTCTTTTTTTTTTTTTGGTATGAAATTTTTTTTTCTGACCAGCACAAATATGAGCACAAATTGGTATAGAGTGTGTCTTCAAATATAATGCCTTAAATTTTCAGATCCTAAACCATCCTATATTTTTACCACAAGAGTTTAAGGCATTTAATAATCATAATTGCTAAAATGCACACACAAAAAACAAAACTGAATGCCTAGAATGTCTCAAAAACCTTTAAAGATCCTGGTTTATAAAGAACTTTAGAGAAACAATGGAAAAACCTTAACAGTTTCTAAAAGCTTGGAAATAAAATTACCATAAGCAATAAGGATGCTAAGCAGCTATTTTGCAGAATATTTAATTAGTCATCTTAATGTCTACAAATTACAGTTATTCATTTAAATTATCATTCTCTTTTTAGAAAATCTAAATCAACAAAAAAGAAATATTTACATAGGTAAGATTTTAAGCTCCTAGGATTTAGGAATGATCAAGGAGATGATTTCATAGGTCTGAGTAACAATTATTTCTGTCTATGTATCCATCTTGATTTGTGTGAGTTTGCATATGTACATGTGAGTATTTGTATGTGCATAGGTGTATGCATGCATTTTATGAGTTAATTTTGTTTTTGCTTTGAACCTCACGTGAAAAGTTCATAAATGGCCAAAGTAAAACCAATGAATCATGAAAGTAATAATTAGTGATAATTTATTACAACCTGGAAGCACTAAAAAAAACGTAGAATGAGGCTTTAAAAAGTGAGCGAAGCAGGCAGCTTTTATTTTATTTTTTTATTAAATCTATTGAAGTGATATTGGTTATTAGGGTCATACAGGAGTGTACATTACTGCCCGGCCGGGCGTGGCTCTGCAGTTGAGCATTGACCTGGGATCCAGGTGATCAGGGTTCGATTCCCGGTCAGGGCACATGCCCGGGTTGCGGGTTCGATCAATGACTCTCTCATCATTGATGTTTCTGTCTCTCTCTCTCCCTCTCCTTTCCTCTCTCTGAAATCAATAAAGATATATATATATTTTTAAAGTGTACATTACTATGATACATGATTTGTATAATGCATTGTGTACCCACCACCCAAAGTCAAATCACCTTCCATCACCGTATATTTGACCTTCTTTACCCTCTACCACCCCCTTCCTTCTGGTAACTACCATACTGTTGTCTTTCTGTGTCTGAGTTTCAGGGGGGTTTCTTGGTTTTTGTTTTTTTTCTTTATTCCTCACCTGATGATATTTTTTCCATTGCTTTTCAGAGAGAGTGGAAGGGAGAGAGAGAGAAAAACACTGATGTGAGAGAGACACACCATTGGTTCTCTCCCAACCAAGGCCAGGGATCCAGCCTGCAACCGAGGTATGCGCCCTTAGGCCGAAATCGAACCCGGGACCCTTTAGTCTGCAAGCCAATGCTCTAGCCACTGAGCCAAACTGGCTAGGGCCTGAGTTTCAGTTTTATATCCCACATATGAATGAAATCATATGGTTCTTATCTTTTTCTGACTAATTCATGTTGCTTAACTAAAAATTAGAAATAAAATGATTTAATACATTTATTATCCTATGTAATATTTATTGGAATTATGCATATATTGCAGTTTGGGGGAGGGAGACATTTAAACATGAAATGTGGCTCCCTATAAGTCAGAAAAGGATTCAAAAATAAAAATTAAACTTAGATCTTCAGCATCCCTGATTTAGGTGTTTGTATAATAGAAAATATTTTTAAGGCCATTATACTTTAAGAATTTTTGTTATTTGATAGACACCTGCAGACAAAGATAAAGTCATCGTCCACCCCTCATACTTTTCTCAGAATCACTTACAATGCAGGCCTCCTCCCACCACTTTCCTAAGAACCCTAAAATCTGGGTTTATCTTCCTGATCTATGAGGTTAAACCAAATGATGTTTAGACATCCCGTTTTCTGAAGTCATTTTCCCCAAAATATGTTCTCCCTCCTTGCTTGCCCTGCCTGATCCCTTGCTCTGCAGGATCTCATATATGGACTCTGACCTTTTACCGCAACATCCTCTCTTACCTCGCGCTCACTTCCTACTTCAGTTTCTGTCTCAGCTACCCTTTGAAAGTTATTTCTTCATAAACAAAATGAACAAATACCTTTAAAGTCTTACCACCAAGTGATTCTATGTTCAACTCAACCCATGCTTAATTTTCAGCTTTTAAAATTGTATCCTCCTTGGATGCTGATTCATCAGCCTGATACTCAGCTAATTCAGAGCCTGCTGAGCCCCCATCCCTCATTTCCACACACTCAGGTCAGACAGGAGATGGAACCACAGGACACTGGATGGGAGGCGTGAGGGTCTATCCTCTAAATGCCCATTTTTCTGCCTTAGGAGCTTCCCCAGAGGCACATGCTTTGATCTGCATTTCTAATGGTCTCCTCCCCATGCAGGTTTCTGTACAAGCACTACATTCATGTTTTGGCTTTCATTTTTGCCATCGAGGAGATCAACAGGAACCCACTTCTCTTACCCAACGTGTCTCTGGGATATCACATCTACAACTCCTACCATAGTCATCAGAGGACCTTGGAAGGCCCAGTGCTTTGGCTGTCAGGAGGGAGAGAGGAAATTCCTAATTATAACTGTGAGAGTCAGAGCAAATCTGTGGCAGTTGTTGAAGGAATTACATCAGCATTTGTTCTTCAGCTGGGGACATTACTGGAACTCTACAAATTCCCACAGGTGAGATAGGATGGCGAGGGTGGGGTGTCAGAGACATTGCATGTAGAGTTTTTTATGGCTATTATTATAAGGCATGTCAACAGAATGCAGCTCAGAACTGTTTTTGATAACCCCAAATGAGACCAATCAACCTCACGCACACAGAGAAAACCTTTGTGCCATTAGGGTTCATTTGGAGTAAGGAAGAGGCAGAATGGGAAGGCCAACGAAGCATTGCCAGATGACTTAGCCATGCCAGCTCAGGGAAGTCTCTGTCAGAATATTTACTTTTGAGATTGATTTCACCCAAAATTAAGATGATAAATTATAAAGTATTTAATAAGAAAATTCTCCTCACCATTTCCAAAAAAAAAGCATTCTATTCAACTTAAATAAGGCAAAATAATAATTGCTTTATTGTTTAATATCATGCTGTTACTATCTAAGTACTATATCTTTGAAGGCTTCCAGCACATCATTTAACTCTTTCAAAAGTTGTGCCCTTGACTGATAATCAGAACTGAACTTTTACAGAAAGACAGTGATAAATCAGGTGCCTCCCTGCTTATCAGCCTTCTTAACCCAGAAGCCTAATAACTATTTCCATACTTAAATTATTCATTTCAATTGTGTCAACCATTGAGAGAGGACTTCATACTTGCTGACTCACTAATTCTGTAATGAATTTGTAATGTATATAAAATATGTAAAGTATCTTACAATGCTTTGCTTCACAACTCATAAATTTGGGTTTTTTAACTGGGCATTTTTGACAAAAAGATAAGTGCATTTGTATATTTTAGTCATTGTAACCTAAGGCTGATTAGAGCTAAAGAGGAAAAAAAGGACTTTCCAAATCAAAATAATAATACCCCTTATTTCCCACAACCCTCTCTTACCCCAAAATCTCTTCACCGTAAACTTTCTTTAAACTTTAGGGGGGAAAAAAGAAAGAACTGGGTTTTTACTAGCCTTGTAGAATTAGATAATAGTTTATACAAAGATCTTGTAAGCTGGGATTTTATTTTATTTTTTCAGGGAAGTTTGGTAGAGAAGAAAACTCAAAGTTTATAATTGTATTAGTCTATATAATATTAACTAGTTTTGTATTTTGCATAGACATTTTATTTTATCTTGTCTTTCTCCCACTGAGTATATGAATCTTTGTTCTATAACTGCTCTTCAAAGCAAGAACTTTCTCTTCATAAACTTTCCTCATTAATGACTTGAGTAAAACCTTCATCAAGAAAAATTGAGAATCTTCTCCTTACACATCTCTCTCACCCTCTAGTAGTTTACTTAAAAGCTTTGCTTTTTTTTTTTTTTTTTTTAGGAGTGGAAATTGGCATGCCCAATTCATTGTTTTATTGTACTCTTCTCCCTTAAATCACTTCCAAAGATAAATGGATGATGTTTTTTTCTTTCCTTCTCAGATTAGTTATGGTCTGTTTGACCCTTTACTGAGTGACAAAGAACTACTTCCATCTCTGTATCAGATGTCCCCCAAGGACTCATCTTTGGCTCTTGGTATGGTGAAATTATTGCTGCATTTCAGCTGGACTTGGGTAGGACTGATTGTCTCAGATGACATGAAAGGTGAGCAATTCCTCTGGGAGCTGAAAGAAGACATGGCCAGAGAAGGTGTCTGTGCAGCATTTACAGAGAAGGTGTCTACTGCTGAAAGATTTATTCCCTTTTCAAATTGGGTGGCCATGCCCAATATTGATAACCCATCAATAAATGTGACTGTTGTCTACGGTGATACTGACGCACTAACAGCCCTGACCATTCTGATAATGAACAGTTTGGATACTTGGAAAGTGTGGATCACCACCTACCAGTGGGATTTCACCACAAATGGGGAAATTTTCCTGCTTAATCATTTCCATGGGACTCTCATTTTATCGAAGCAGAGCAGAGAGATTCCTGGCTTCAGACAGTTTCTTGAGACAGTTAACCCTTCTAAATATCCAGAAGACATTTTTCTTAAAAAACTGTGGCTCTTTTCCTTTGATTGCTCTTTGTCTGGTCCTGACTGTGAAACACTAGAAGACTGTCCACTAAATGCTTCAGTGGCTTCTGTGCCTTTGCATTATTTTGACATGAGTACATCTGATTTTATTAAGACTACCTATGATTCTGTGTATTCTGTGGCCCATGCCCTCCACGAAGTGCTTCTTTTAAAAACACAAGTGGAATCTGAGGAAAATGCAAACCCACTGGTATTTTATCAGTGGCAGGTAATTATGTTCACTAGTGCCCTGTAGACCTTGAAGCCTTTAGATTCTTGAAACACACAGTCATAGATGTGACTTTGTTAAAACTTTAATAATAACTCAGAAAACCACATTGATTTTATATCCTGAATTATATAAATATGTGTACTTTCCTGAGAGATTTCAGTTGTGGTGAGTATACGTAGAAACCGTCATTAAATAGAAGGTGTCTAAGGATAGAGGACATCTTGTTATATTGCTTTTTGAAGGTGAAATATGTGCTTTCATTCCTAGCCCTCTAATTTTCAGTCTTATTCCTGTAGACCTATATATCAATTCTCTAAAATGACCATGGAAAAGAAATTACTTTTCAGTTTTTACTTTTTTTTCGGCCTTCTATATGTTGACTGCATTTTCTCTTTTAATTCAAAATAACCTTACAAGATATGAATTTCTATTCCTATTTCACATATGAGAAAATCTCATTCAGAAAAGTGAAGTAAGCGTCTTAAGACCCACTGCCTCTAAGTGTGTCACCAAGAATTTGAAACCACATTTGTTTTTATCTACACCAAAGAGTAACATGAAATTTGAACATTTTGTCCTCAACAATCAGATAGTAATGAAATTTCTGTTAACATTTCATTATAAGAGCAAATGCAGGTGTACATGCTTTTTGTTAATATTAACCTTTAATTTGATCAGGAGGGGAATAAGTGTGCCTATTTTGCATTTGTTGTTATAGGTGATAAGATAAACCCCAAGGTTTAAAAATAATTTTTTAAATTTTTTGGTTACCAAATGATTTTTTCTGTAGCTGTTTTTTATTCTTTCTTCTTGTTGTTACTCTCTGATGCATTTCTTTTAGCTCCACCAACCACTGAGAGTCATTCAATTTACCAACAGTATTGGAGACCAAGTGACCCTGGATGAAAATAGAAACTCTGTTGCTCAATATGACATTCTGAACTATTGTAATTTGCCTTCTGGTCTCCAACATCTGGTGAAGGTAGGAAAATTCGTCCCCCAGGCTCCACATGGTCAAGAGTTAACTATACACAAGGAAATAATAGACTGGGCCATCGGATTTGAAGAGGTTAGTCATAGTTTTAAAGATGGCATTTTTACTGAATATGGATACCAGACTAGACTTGTTTCATGAAAATAATTTCATCCCACTGGATTCTCTACAGTTTTATGCATATCACACATCTCATGTCTCTTCTTATTTACTATTTCTTATTGATTGTTTATTATACAGAGAAAGAACACATATTAAACTATATAGTAATAACAATAATAACAAACCATTATATAGCATTTACAAAGTACCATGCAGTGTTTTAATGGATTTATGCATATTAATTATGCTATTCAAAACAATTATATGAATGAAGCCCTATAATTTTGTGTTTTTTAGATGAGAGATGTGTTGCACAGAAAGGTTAAGTAACTTACTCATGATTACACAGAAAGTGATAGAGTCACAATTTGAACCAAACTTCTCTCCTGTCATGATCCCTGGTCATTATCCTAATAACTTGAAGGTTCTCAGAGTCTTTGTTAGCTTATTTTCTTTTTATATTTCATCTCAGGTCTATTCTTTTTTTTTAATTTTATTTTTGTTTAAAATATTACAGCTGTCCCTTTTTCTCCCCAATGACCCATTCCACCCCGTCCCATCCCCTCCCCAGTCCCTCTCCCCACCATTGTCCGTGTCCTTGGGTTGTGTATATCTGCATATAAATTCTTGGTTATTCTCTGCCCCTCCACCCACCCGCCCGCCTCCATCCTTCTGACATTCGTCAGTCTCATCTATGCTTCCATGTCATTGAATCTATTCTGTTCATTAGTTTATTAAGTTCTTTAGATTCCACATATAAGCGAGATCATGTGATGTTTGTATTTCTCTGCCTGGCTTATTTCACTTAGCATAATTTTCTCCAGGTCCATCCATACTGTCCCAAAGGGTACGAGATCCTTCTTCTTTACAGCTGTGTAGTATTTCATGGTGTAAATGTCCCACAGATTTTTTATCCACCCGTCTACTGATGGGCACTTGGGCTGTTTCCGGCTTATTTTCATGCTTATCATTTCATTCTAATCATTAAGATCGGTTTGCTTTTTTATAGTCAATGCTATCTCTGATTATAAAAGTTTTAATTTTTATTTAAAGGCCTTATGTTTCTTTAATATTTATGAATTAACTAGAAATTCTACTTAATGTTGAATATAAGTGCTGATACTGTCATCTTTCTGTAATCATCCCCTGTTTAAATGTAATAGTTCTTATATTGCATGTTCTGTATATTGCTGGGAATTCTATTCCATCTTAGGTTACTTAGAAATTCTCTTAAAACTACAAGTTTTGTATCTATGAAAACACTTTATGTGATTTTCTTCAAAGACTTGTTAATATGGCTTATTAAATATATACATACATATATACCTCTCTGTGCTTTCCTGGAATGAACTAAAATTGATAAGATGTGTTTTTTATTAATAGAATTTATTTTTAGAACAGTTTTAGTTTAAAATATATTGAGCAGAAAGTACAGAGCTCAAGTATACCTCCTCTCTTCTCCTCTATCCTATCATTTCATTAACACATATATATATATATATAATTAACTGAAGCTCATAATTTACATAGGGCTCCTTCTTTATGTTGTACAGTTTTATGAATGTTGACAAATTTATAATGGTATGTATTCACCATTACAGTATCATACAGAATAGTTTCACTGCCCTAAAAATACCCTATGTTCCATCTGTTTATTCTTCCTTCCATACCATGATGTATTTTTAAAACTTTCTAATATACAGTCAACATTTATTTAGGGTATTTACATCCATATACTTACGTGGAAATGAATTCAAATTTTTCTTTTCTATTATTTGTTTTCTTATCAAAGATCTACTAGCTTCTTAAATTTAGTGGGACATATCCCTAAAGCTATTTCTTAAACATTTTTATTATTAGGGCATAATCCTGGGTATTTGGGGGTTCGATTGTTAACAACTAACTTTATTTTAAATTGTTTACTTTTAAATTTTGCATTTCTTCTCAGATTTATTTATATGTGTTCCCAGTTTTTATATAGGTTTAAATATTTTGTTTTAAATTTTTATTTTTTAACACATGAATTATTTAGACATGTATTTAAATTTATGGGTTTTGATTTTTGTTATTGGTGACTAATTTAATTACATCATAAATAAAAGAGTCTTGCTTTTTGGCCAGTAAATGGTCAGTTTCCATAAATAATCCATGTGTTCTTCCGAGGAAAAAGTAAGCCCTAAATTGGGGAATCAGAACATCAATCTCATTTATTATGTTGCTTAAATTACTAATATATTTTTGTTTTGACATTAATTTTTTTTATTACAGTTAATATTCAATATTATATTAGTTTCAGGTGTGCCACCCAGGGATTACACATTATATAACTTACTAAGTGATCATCCAGATAAATCTCATACCCATCTGACACCTTATAGTTATTAGAATATTACTGACTATATCCCCTATGCTGAGCTTCACATTCCCATGACTATTCTGTAAGTACCAGTTTGTACTTAATCCCTTCACCTCTTTCACCCATCCCCCCAACCTTCTTCCTATCGGGCAACCTTCAAAATGTTCTTTGTATCTATGAGTCTGTTTTTGTTCTGTTTGTCCACTTATTTTGCTTTTTAGATTCAATTGTTGATAGATATGTGTTTATTGCCATTTTATTATTCATCATTTTTATCTTTTTTCTTCTTTTTCTTCTTAAAGAAGACCCTTTAATATTTCTTATAATACTAGTTTGGTGGCGATGAACTCCTTCAGCTTTTTCTTGTCTGGGAAGCTCTTTAGCTGTCTTTCGATTCTAAATGATAGCTTTGTTGTGTAATCTTGGTGTTAAGCCTTTGTTTTTCACCACTTTGAATATTCCTTGCCACTCCCTTCTGGCCTGCAAAGTTTCTGTTGAGAAAGCAGCTGACAGCCTTATGGGAGCCCCCTTGTAGGTAACTAACTGCTTTTTTCTTGCTGCTTCTAAGAGTCTCTCTTTGTCCTTAACCTTTGTCATTTTAATTATGATGTGTTTTAGTGCAATTCTCTTTGGGTTCATCTTGCTTGGTACTCTCTGTGCTTCCTGAACTTATATGTCTATTTCCTTCACCAGGTTAGAGAAGTTTTCTATTAATATTTTTTCACATAGGTTTTTTTTTGTTTCCATGTTCTCTCACTTTTCCTTCTGGCACCCCTAAGATGCTAATGTTGGTACACTTGAAGTTGTCCCAGAGGCTCCTTATATTATCTTCTTTTTTGTATACTTCTTTCTTTTTAGTGTTCTGATTGGGTATTTTATTTAGCCTTTTTCTAAAGTTTGTTCTGTTCTTTCACTTGGGATATATTTCTTTGCCTCCTCATTTGGCAGCCTCCTTGTGTTTGTTTCTATGTATTAGGTAATACTATGCTACATCTCCAAGGCTTGGTAGAATGACCTTATGTAGTAGATGTCCTGTAGAATACAGTAGCAGAGCTTCCCATTCACCCAACCTGGGCATTCCATGTGTCTACCCCAACCACCATATAAGCTGTGTACACCCTCCTGTTTTAGTTGAGACTTGACTGCTATTGGCATGTCAATGGGTGGGATTTACCTCCAGTCCAATTGGTTGCAAGACTGGCTGAGACCACCATGGAGGATCAGTTGTGCAGGGGCCCACACCTCAAAGCAGGACTTACTTTAGCAGTGCTCTGGTGCCTGTCATTTGAGTCCCCCCCCCCCTTTAGTGTATCACTTGTGAAGATGGTAGGGTTGTGCTTCATTGTGGTCTGAAGCTGTCCACCGGGTACACTGGCTCTGGGGCCTCCTGGGGGGTGCAGGCCAAGGTCAGCTGCTACCTGTGTTGTGCCTGGGGCCACCCAGAATGAGCTACAAAGCGTCTTGTATATGGCTATTACCTGTGCTTGGGCTTGGAGGGGCTCAGGAGAGGCCAAGCTGTAAACTGAGGCTTGTTGTCTCTAATGCCAGGCCTGGGACCACTTATTGAGATGTATGAGGTACACCAAGGCCAGATGATGCTTGTTTGAGAGATTTAAGGAAAGCGTGAAGCATAAGCCAAGACAGACCTTTAGTATGGAAAGGCCACTGGAAACAACTAGGGTGTGCCCACTAGTTGGGTGAATCAGGGTCTCAGGTACTCACCAGGGTGGGGCACACAGTGTGAGCCAAGTTGATGGAATCTCAGATATGGTGCTTGCCTGCCAGCACTCTGGGAGAAAGCTGCCCTCCAGCTCTTGCTCAGGTGCCAGAAAATGCAATTCTTCCACATACATCCCTGCTTCTTTTTGAGCTGCTGCCCCAGCACTGAAGCTCAGAGTGTGTGAGTCTGAGTAAGTCTGTGTACAGGCCATTTATTGAAATGCCTGCGACTTCAGCAGTCCTTCAGCTCACTTGGCCCCAACCCCAGCTGGTTTTTACACCCAGAAGTTATGGGGTCTTCTCTTCCTTGCACCAGAAACCTGGGCTGGGGGCTTGGTGTGAGCCTGGGACCCTTGGCTTTTCAGGGGGCACCTCTGCATCCCAGATACCCTTCTCGATTTTTTTCTGCCACACGTGGGTGTGGGACTGACCAGGTCAGTGCCTCTGCCCCTTTTATTACTCTCAGTGTTGCTTCTTCTTTATATTTTTTAGCTGTAGGACTTCTGTTCAGCTAGGTTTCAAGTAGTTCTGAATAATGGTTATCCTGTGGTTTAGTTGTAATGTTGATGTGATGTGGTGTGAAAGTATTGCTACAGCTATGCAGCCATTTTGACCTGATATGCCATTAACGTTTATCATACATTTACCATTTCTCTGTATTTCTATATAATCTGTCTATCTAAATTATACCCCCCAAAAAAATCATGTCACTATTTATCATTTATTTATTTATTTATTTATTTATTTATTTTATTATTGAGAGTATTACAGATGTCCTTGATTATCCCCCCTTACCCCTTTCCACCCATCTCCCACCCCACCCTATGCCTTCACCTGTCTATTGTCTGTGTCCATGGGTTATGCATAAAAACTTATAAGAATTTTAATTAATCTCTTCCTGCCTTCCTTCACAACTTCCCTCTAGTTCTATCAGTCTGTTTCATGCTTGCATGTCTCTGGATCTATTTTGTTTGTCAGTTTATTTTGTTCATTATATTCCACATTTAAGTGATATCAGGTGATATTCGTCTTTCTCTGCCTAGCTTATTTCAGTTAGCATAATACTCTCCAGGTCCATCCATACTGTCCCAAAGAGTAAGGGATCCTTCTTCTTTACAGCTGCATAGTATTCCATGGTATATATGTCCCACAGCTTTTTATCCACTCATCTACTGATGAGCACTTGGGCTGTTTCTAGATCTTAGCTATTGTAAATAATATTGCTATGAACATAGGGATGAGTATATTCTTTCTGATTGGTGGTTGGGTATTCTAAGGATATATTCCTATACTTAAGATCACTGGGTCAAATGGCAGTTCTATTTTTAATTTTTTGAGGAAATGCACACTGTTTTCCACAGTGGCTACACCAGTCTGCATTCCCACCAGCAGTGTATTAGGGTTCCCCTTTCTCCACACCCTCGCCAGCACTTGTTGTTTGTTGATTTGTTGATGGAGCCATTCTGGCAGGTGTGAGGTGATACCTCATTGTAGTTTTAACTTGCATTTCTCTGATGATTAGTGACACTTAGCATTTCTTCATATGTCTCTTAGCCATTTCTATGTCCTCTTTGGAGAAGTGTTTATTTAATTCCTCTGCCCATTTTTTAATTGGATTGTTTATCTTCCTTTTATTGAGTTGTATGAGTACTTTATATATTTTGGAAATTAACCCCTTATCAGATATATCATTGGCAAATATGTTTTCCCATACAGTGGGTTCCCTTTCCAGTTTGATGCTGGTTTCTTTAGCTGTGCAGAAGTTTTTAAGCTTGATGTAGTCCCATTTGTTTATTTTCTCTTTGTTTCTCTTAGCTAAAGAGATGTATCAGTGAAAACAGTGCTATATGAGATGTTTAAGATTTCACTGCCTGCGTTTTCTTCCAGGATTTTTATGGTTTCACAACTTTCATTTAAGTCTTTTATACATTTTGAATTTATTCTTGTGGTATGGTGTAAGTTGGTGGTCTTTTTCATTTTTTGCACATACCTGTTTAATGTTCCCAGCACCATTTATAGAAGAGATTATCTCTACTCCATTGTATGCTCTTGCCTCCTTTGTCAAATATTAATTGAGCACAATGGCTTGGGTTGATTTCTGGGTTCTCTATTCTGTTCCATTATTTATATGCTTATTCTTATGCCAGTATCAGGCTGTTTTGATTATAGTGGCTTTGTAGTATAGCTTGACATCCAGTATTGTGATCCCATTTGATCTTTCTTCTCAAGATTTCTGAAGCTATTCAGGGTCTTTTATATTCCATATAAATAATTTCTGCTCATAATTTTGATGTCTTGTTTTGTTTACTTTAAAGATTTTTATCTTACATATTTATATTCCATATCTGAACATTACAAGGCCTAAACTGCCTATTGGTCTTATTTTGTTGTTTATTTCTTCTGTTTCTTGATTATAGTCTGCTATTTGATTGTGTGGGATATATATGTTTGACCTCAGTTCAGTGTTACTTCATTGGTGATTACATCATATTTTTATGGCTAATGCCTTCCATGGATTTGCCTATGTTTCAACCAGGCAACTGGGATGCTAATAATAAAAAACATTCAATTTATGCATTTAAGGTGTTTCTTGCCTATGCAAATGGATTTAAAATTGAATTTACCACCAGTTAAAAAGCAACTTTGTGAATAAAATTTCTCAGAAGAGACATTTTTTCTTTTGCTACCCAGATTTCAACATTAGGCTGTAAAAATAACTTGCCATCTCCCTTTATTGGCAGGATAATTTCATTCCTAAAACATTATTTTCCCAGAAGAGTAGTGTCTTATAGTTTTAGATCTATAAATTATGAGTTTTACCTCCATTTTAATCAAGTGCAAACCCTTGTTTTCTGTCCCATCAGTTTTTTTCATTAAAACCTGAAGTCTCCTGATTACCTTAACTGACAAATGTTGTTTATGGATAGCTTATGGATCAGCTTTCCTGTGCTCAGATTCTGTTTCTTCATATTTTAGTCCTGGGGCTCCTCTTATATTAATGGAGAGAAGCTATGATCTTTTAAGCTCTTTTTGTATTTATCTATCACTTCTCAGTGTTTCATATTCTGCATACATAATCTACTTATTGCCAGTAGAAGTCTAGGTTAGTTTTTAAAACAAAATGTCTTGAGATGAGCAAGGTGACTTCTGACTTCAGAAAAAGATGGACTAGCAAATATCCACAGACAAGATGCCTTTGTGGAAACCTTAGAGCCCAGGAGTAAGGCTGGAGCACCCTTTTGGACACCAAAATCTGAGAAAAATCACATTAGAAGAGTAAGCTAAGCTGATTTGGTTTGGCTGTATCCTGCCTTCCCCAAGATAGCACAGTACTGCACCAAGAGGGCCCCCTGGGTCTACAGTCCCGCCAGTGAAAAAGGGAGAACAAGGCAGGAGTGCAGCTTTCTCTGAATTCCAGCTGTCTTCGGGAGGCTGCCTTTTTTCTCATGGAGATCCTTGGAGAGACTGGCTAGACGTACAGAAGGATGGGGCTTTTAGCAACCCATGTGTGAATCTAACAGACCACATTCCTGCTGGCAGTTCTCCTGGAAGAAAACATAAAGAAAAACTTTTTGACAGCAATGATTTTTTTTATATTTATTGTTGGAAGCATTACAGTGGTCCCCTTTGGCAATGATATTTTGGATTTGACACATAAAGCACAAGCAACAACACAACAACAACAAAATTGTAACTAAACAAAAGTGAAAAGCTTCCATAAAGCAAAAGAAACAATCAATGAATTGAAAGGGGAACCTATGGAATGAGAGAAAATATTTACAAACTGCATATCTAATAAAGAATTAATATTTAAAATATATAAAGAGCTCATACAACTTATTAACAAAACAAAACAAAATCTGATTTCATAATATTAATAATGGGAAAAGGACCTAAATAGATATTTTTTCAAAGGAGACATACAAACAGCCATGAGGTACATGAAAAGGTGCCCAACATTACTAATCACCAGGGAAATGCTAATCAAAATCAGAAAGAGATATCACCTCACACCTGTTACTATGGCTATCACAAAGAAGACCAGAGATAACAGTGTTGGTGAGTACATGGAGAAAAGAGAATTCTTGTGCACTGTTTGTGGGAATGTAAACCAGATCAGACCCTATTGCAAGCAGTATGAAGGTTTCTCCAGAAAATAAAAATGCAACTACCATATCATCCAGCATTCCCACTTCTGAGATATATATCTGAAAGATATAAAACCAATATTTTGAAGAGATATGTTCACCCCATGTTCATTGCAAAAATATTTACAACAGCCAAGACACAGAAACGCCCTAAATATTGTTGATGAATGAATGGATAGAGTAAATGTTTTATAAATAAATATATAAATAAATATATGTGAATATTATTTAGTCATGAAGAGGGAGAAAGTCATGCTATTTATGACAACATGGATTAAACTTGAGGGTATTACACTACGTGAAATTAGTCAAAGAAAGACAAATATTGTATGATCTCATAGAAACTGTGAATGGAATTTAAACTGTGAAACTCATAGAAACAAAGTGTAAATTGGTGATTGCCAAAAGCCACAGAGTAGGAGATATGGAGGAATGTTGGCCAAAGTGTTAAAATTCAGTTATGAGACAAGTTCTTGGGATCTAATGTATGTAGTCTAATGTCTATAGTTAATATTATGTTGTAAAGTTCACTAAGAGTATATATAGATCTTAAATATTCTCATCACCAAAAGCATGATACCTATGAGGTAAAAAAATTAAACCACACACTAAGATGTTATGAACCCAGTGATAATGCTGTTGTAGTAGAGATAACATCATCATAAATTTATTGTGAAATTAATTAACATGTTGCTTTTAATCACCTGGCTCATTAATTTTGTGAAGACATAATTTAAATTACTTAGGTGTATGCCTTTTATACAGAAATGAGATTTTGTATTATTTTTATACAAAACATTTTTTGTGTATACTTAATTTTAATTTCCACTATGCATGCTTTAGGTAGTTCTAAAATATATTATGCCTTATTAAAATATTTCAGCTAAAACAATATTATTAATACAGAAATTATATAATTCACCTATTTTAAATTTATTAGCAGCACCTATCCTTAATTTATTTTCTTCAGGCTCCCCTCTCTGTGTGTAGCCCAAGCTGTGGTCCAGGATTTTGGAAAACCACACAGGAAGGAAAAGCTATATGTTGTTTTAACTGTACCATGTGCCCAGAGGGTGAGATTTCCAATAAGACAGGTAAGAGTCAACAACAGATTCCTCTCAATCTGCTCTTCATTCTCCTCACTAATGTGAAAGTTGGTTAGAGTTTGGATTTGACTCACAAAGCAGCATTCCTTCCTTCATATATTATTTATTTGATCACTCACATAACACACTTTAATATTATAATTAGTATAAACCTTTCCTCTCAGAGCCAGGATGTGATGGAATTGTGTGACAGAGAAAGCTGCCTAATAGGCGACATGGGGCTGAGGGTATGAACTTTTGCTAATCCTTCACTAAAGTGGGCAGGCAAATGAGTCATGTTATATTTTGAGGAGAGAATTCAAGATGGAAGCAGAAGTACTAAGGGCCTGGGCGGGAGTTTGTGTAGTTGAAAGTAAGTCAAGTCAGTTAGTGTGGGTGGTTGAAAGAAGCAGTTCAGGGCTATTGTGGTAGGAGGTGGAGTCTGAGGTTTAGAAAGATGGTGCAGGGTTTGATTTGAAGTGTAGTTAGAAGCAATTGGAAGGCTTCGTATGTGGCAGTTAAGTGATCAGACTTGACTGTTAAACAATGACTTCTTGCTTTCTGCAAAACAGGCTGAAGGAGAAGAGATTTACAAGCAGGGAAGTCAGTTGAGTGTGTTACAATAATCCAGTTAAAGATACAAAGGATCAAAGTGGCTAAGTGAAGTGAGGCTAAATAATTGGTATCAGGAAATATTTTGATGGTAGAGTCAAGATAATTTACTGGTAGATTTGTTTTTTTTGAGAAAATGTCATGGGTAACACCCAAGTATTGAGTGAGTGCTACTTAATAACTCATGGCCAATCAAAGGAGAGTTTGAGATGTTTATATAAAAATGCAATTATGCCCTGGCCAGGGTGGATCAGTGGTTAGAACATCAACCTGCAGATGAAAGGGCCACAGGTTTGATTCCCAGGCAAGGGCACGTACCTGGGTGGCAGGTTCCTTTGGTGGCCCCTGTCGGGGTGTGTGCAGGAGGCAACCAATTTGATGTCTCTCACATAGATGTTTTTCTCTTTTTTCCCCTC